GCCTCCTGTTAAAGTCTGGATAAATCTATTAAATGGCAATAAAATATTCCTGTTAAAACATCCCTGGATCAACACCACTCATCAGTTCCCGATGGTTTTTGGCTGAACTCTGATAAAGTAAGAAATGGACCCAGATCTGGGTCGTGACCCAGCAGTTGGAGAACCCACTGTCCTGCAAGGACAGAGGAGCAGAATGTTTGTGGTGAATCAGAACAGACTTCATCCAGATATTTTAATCATATTTCCAGGATCAGGGAATTCTCGGTGGAACAGGATGGAGGACTACTCAGACCTGCGTGGTTCTGACCTTCACACAGAAACAGGAAACCAGCTGTAAACTCATCTGGTATCCGTCATGTCTTCAACCCATCGTCTCCATCTAGTGGCTGCTGCTGGTTCACCTAAAGGAGGGAATTCCACTTACAGGAGGGGAAAATCAGTTAAGGTGGAATTTCTGAGATCTGAACTTAACATTTACTGATTAAAATCAGCTATCAGCTAATTATTTAGCCTTTATTTTCCAATATAAGTTTCCCTTTTATGAAATAGATTTACTCCTCCTTGAACCGTCACCTTATCGTGGTGGAGGAGTTTGAGTGCCCTAATGATCCTAGGAGCTATGTTGTCTGGGGCACTTAGTGCCCCTGGTAGGGTCTCCCATGACAAATTGGTCTTAGGTGAAGGGTGAGACAAAGAACGGTTCGAAGGATCTTTCATGGCGGTTAAAACGAAGAGTCGGAGTACCCGGCCCGGAGGGTTACCGGGGTCCCACCCTGGAGCCAGGCCTGGGGTTGGGGCCCGTGTGCGAGCGCCTGGTGGCCGGGCTTTCGCCCATGGGGCCCGGCCGGGCCCAGCCCGAACCGGATACATGGGCTCGTCCAACTGTGGACCCACCACCCGCAGGAGGAACATGAAGGTTCCGGTGCAATGCGAATCGGGTGGCAGACCAAGGCGGGAGCCTTGGCGGTCCAATCCCCGGACAAGAAAACTAGTTTTTGGGACATGGAACGTCACCTCGCTGGCGGGGAAGGAGCCGGAGCTTGTGGCAGAGGTTGAGCGGTACCGGCTAGATATATAGTCAGACTCACCTCGACACATTGCATTGGCTCTGGAACCCGAGACCTGGAGAGGGGTTGGACACGCTACTTTGCTGGAGTTGCTCCGGGTGAGAGGCGGAGGGCTGGGGTTGGCTTTTTGTTAGCCCCGAGACTCTCTGCCTGTGTGTTGGGGTTTACCCCGGGGGACAAGAGGGTAGCTTCCTTGCGCCTTCGGGTCGGGGAACGGGTCCTGACTGTTGTTTGTGCTTATGGGCCAAATATCAGTTCAGAGTACCCACCCTTTTTGGAGTCCCTGGGACGAGTGCTAGATAGTGCTCCATCAGGGGACTCCATTGTCCTGCTGGGGGACTTCAATGCTCACGTGGGCAATGACAGCTTGACCTGGAGGGGTGTGATTGGGAGGAACGGCCCACCTAATCTGAACTCGAGCGGTGTTTTGTTATTGGACTTCTGTGCAAGCCGCAGTTTGGCCATAACGAACACCATGTTCGAACATAAGGATGCCCATCGGTACACTTGGTACCAGGGCAGCCTAGGTCACAGGTCGATGATAGATTTTGTAGTCGTATCATCTGACCTGCGGCCGTATGTTTTGGACACCCGAGTGAAGAGAGGGGCGGAGCTGTCAACTGATCACCACCTGGTGGTGAGTTGGATCAGATGGCAAGGGAACATGCCGCGTAGACCTGGCAGACCCAAACGCATAGTGAGGGTCTGCTGGGAACGCCTGGCAGAAGAACCTGTCAAGACGGTCTTCAACTCCCACCTCCGGCAGAGCTTTGACCACGTCCCGAGAGCAGTGGGGGACATTGAGTCCGAGTGGGCCTTGTTCCACTCTGCGATTGTCGAGGCGGCTGTTGCTAGCTGTGGTCGTAAGGTGGCCGGTGCCAGTCGTGGTGGCAACCCCCGTACCCGCTGGTAGACACCAGAGGTTCGGGGAGCCGTCAGGCTGAAGAAGGAGGCCTACAGGGCGTGGCTGGTCTGTGGGTCTCCGGAGGCAGCAGACAGGTACCGGATAGCCAAGCGGGGTGCAGCAGTGGCAGTTGCCGAGGCAAAATCTCGGGCGTGGGAGGAGTTTGGTGAGGCCATGGAGAAAGACTATCGATCGGCTCCAAAGAGGTTCTGGCAAACTGTCCGGCGCCTCAGGAGAGGAAGGCAGCAACTCGCTCACACTGTTTACAGTGGGGATGGGGAGCTGCTGACGTCAACTGAGGCTATAGTCGGACAGTGGAAGGAATACTTTGAGGAGCTCCTCAATCCCACCAATGCGCATTCCGAGGAGGAACCAGAGCTGGGAGGCCTGGGGATGGACTGTCCGATCTCGGGGGCAGAAGTTGCTGAGGTAGTCAAACAACTACACAGCGGCGGAGCCCCGGGGGCGGATGAGGTTCGTCCTGGGTATCTCAAGGCTATGGATGTTGTAGGGCTGTCATGGTTGACACGTCTCTACAACATTGCGTGGTCATCGGGGGCAGTTCCTAGGGAGTGGCAGACCGGGGTGGTGGTCCCCATCTTTAAGAAGGGTGACCTGAGGGTGTGTTCCAACTATAGGGGGATCACACTCCTCAGCCTCCCTGGAAAGGTCTACGCCAAGGTACTGGAGAGGAGGGTCCGATCGATAGTTGAATCTCAGATAGAGGAGGAGCAATGTGGTTTTCGTCCTGGCCGTGGAACTGTGGACCAGCTCTATACCCTTGCAAGGGTGATGGAGGGGGCATGGGAGTTTGCCCAAGCAATCCACATGTGCTTTGTGGATTTGGAGAAGGCTTATGACCGTGTCCCCAGGGGCATCCTGTGGGGGACGCTCCAGGAGTATGGGGTGGGTGGCTTTCTGTTAAGGGCCATTCAGTCCCTTTACCAGAGGAGCGTGAGTTTGGTCCGCATAGCCGGTAGTAAGTCGGACCTGTTCCCAGTGAGGGTTGGACTCCGCCAGGGCTGCCCTTTGTCACCGGTTCTGTTCATCACTTTTATGGACAGAATTTCTAGGTGCAGCCGTGGTGTGGAGTGTGTCGAGTTTGGTGGCAGGAGAATCTCATCTCTGCTTTTTGCGGATGATGTGGTCCTCCTAGCTTCATCCAGCTCTGACCTTCAGCTCTTGCTGGGTAGGTTCACGGCCGAATGTGAAGCGGCTGGGATGAGGATCAGCACCTCCAAATCTGAGACCATGGTTCTCGACCGGAAAAGGGTGGCTTGCCACCTCCGGGTCGGGGGAGAGGTCCTACCTCAAGTGGAGGAGTTTAAGTATCTCGGGGTCTTGTTCACGAGTGAGGGTAGGAGGGATCGGGAGATCGACAGGCGGATTGGTTCGGCGTCTGCAGTGATGCGGACGCTGAGCCGATCTGTCGTGGGGAAGAGGGAGCTGAGCCAGAAAGCCAGGCTCTCGATTTACCGGTCGATCTACGTCCCAATCCTCACCTATGGTCATGAGCTTTGGGTAATGACCGAAAGAACGAGATCGCGGATACAAGCGGCCGAAATGAGTTTCCTCCGTAGGGTGGCCGGGCTCAGCCTTAGAGATAGGGTGAGGAGCTCGGACATTCGGGAGGGACTCGGAGTAGAACCGCTGCTCCTCCGGATCGAAAGGAGCCAGTTGAGGTGGTTTGGGCATCTGGTCAGGATGCCTCCTGGACGCCTCCCCGGGGAGGTGTTTCGGGCATGTCCTGCCGGCAGAAGGCCCCCGGGTCGACCCAGGACACGTTGGAGAGGTTACATCTCCAATCTGGTCCGGGAACGCCTTGTGGTCCAGCCGGAGGAGCTGGTGGACAAGGCCGGGGAGAGGACGGCCTGGAGCTCCCTAATTGGGATGCTGCCCCCGCGACCCGGACCCGGATAAGCGGAGGAAGACGAAGACGAAGAAATAGATTTAAACAAAAGTTTGTTTAACTTCAGGTGGAGTCTAATTCCTGCTCCATCCATCAGATTATTATTAATGTCTTGATATAAAACTTAAGTTTTATATTTTAAACACTGAATATTGATCCAGTCTAGATGTTGTTCAGAATAAAAACCGGATTTTTGAGACTTTTAACTCATGAAATGTAAACCAGAACATCTGGACAACACCTGGAGGATTAACTAACTCAGAAGAATGAGTCAAACTCACCTGAATGTTTCTTCAATGGGGAAGAAACCTGAGCCCCTTCAGTCACCATCAATAAGAAAGAAAAACATTTCTGGTTCATTGTTTCAAAATGATTTTCCTTAAATTACTGATCAAAGTTAGTTCACCAAAATGTGCTTCAGAGATTAAAACTGTTTAATTTAAACACCTTGAATCTCACTCCAGGGATGTGGCTACTTCCTGGAAGTAGGTTACAATGGCCCTGTTGACTCCGAGGGTAAATGAAGCTGCTGGGATCCAACATGTGTCTGTCAGATGGGAAACGACCCAGTGGGACGGTTCTGGTTCTGGACCAGTAACAGATGATAACAGAGTGAGACTCGTGGCGGCTTCCAGCTGCCAGGGAGGAGGGTTTAGTGGGTTCGGTTCACTCTCTGGAGGGTTTGTGTTCGGCCACACCCGGGTCTAAATTACACCCCGAGGGTGGGATCGGATCGTCAGAGGAGGCGTGTGAAGTTTCTGCCTCCAGATTTTTAAAAGATTTTCCACATACTTTCATGTTATTTTCATTTGAAATTTTTGAATTTCAGTTGGGAATCAAAAAAGGAAATTGTTTATCATCCAATGAAGCCAAAGTAAATCCAGAATCGTTTATCTTTGTATGACGAGACCGTTTCCAGATGTTGTAGTACATGTTTTTCATAAAGTAAATAAATGCTGCAGTTTTGTTGGGGGTTCTACTTTAGTTTATCTAAAATAACAGAATATTTTGAGGTTTTAAGGTATTTTTTATCTAATACAATCTAAATTATATTAGACTTTTGGTTTTAGATGAATAAATGTGCAGCAGATGCGATCAAAGTCAATAAAACACACAGTCGTCATCTTCATTATTATAATTATTATTATCATGAATCCCAGGATGAAAGGAAAAGACGGACCCGTCTACATTCTGGTGGTTCAGGTCCGTTTTCTCACTCAACAGTCTGATAACCAATCAGGGTTCAGATCCACAGTTTCCTCCTTAAAGTTTTCTACAAAAATAAGAGCAACAGCGGCGTGATGACATCATCACATCCATGAATCAAACAAAAATAGGAGATGTGTCCGTAAATTTTTATATAAAAGATCTGGATTTCTGGGAGTAAGAGCACTAATATTTACACACGAGTCGGCTCCAGAACGTCAACAGAACGATCAAAAAGAATCAAAAGAAGCTCTGAGACATACCAGAGAGGAAAACCGCATTTCCCAGCATGCAGTTGGGTTCACTAAACTGGACCGCAGCCAGAATCTGAGAAATCTTTTATTCCTGATCACAAAACAATATTCCTGATGTTTCCAAACATGAACGGGTTCCTCAGATCCAGCTGCCTGGTGCTGGGATTCGAACTACAGACCCGTTTAACAGCAGCTAAAGGCAACGCGACTGAAACAGAAAAAAAACAATGGCTGCAGAGACTCAGATGATTTCTTCAAGCTTTAAATAATCTACAACAGGCTGAAAGTGAAACTGATTTTAAACTGTAATCTAATCTAATCTAAAGAAAATAAAGCAGGTTGGATCTGAGCTGAAACATCTGAATATTTCTCCAAACTACAATGAGAATCTAAAACAGAACCAGCTGTCTTAGTCCAAACAAAATCTCAAGATAAATAATCTAGATTACTGTCCTGACTTTTGACCACAAAGAGAAAAAAATGTGTAATTTCTGTTATTGAAGGTAAAAATCTGCAATAATAAGTCGTTTTGTGTTTCTTGTTCCTGGAGTTTGAATTTTACATTAAATGTAAACGTTTTAAAGAGAAAAAGATATAAGATCATTAAAAAACTCATGAAATGAAGCAGAAAAAACACAATCTTAATTTAGATTTTTTTTTCTCTGTAGTTTCAGATTTTTAAAAACAAAAATAACCCAAGTTCAGTTTAAATCACTCTAAACTTACATGGAATAATCCCGACGTCTAACTGAACATTTTAATAGTTAAAGTGCCTTAAATTAGTTTCTGAGCTGAAAATATTTATGACTAATAAATCTGAAAACTGAAGGGACATTTATCAACTCTGATAGATGAAGCCAAATTATTGTTTTATAAATAATTATAATCTAAAGGAGAAGTTATTCATCTCTGTATTTGGAGAAATTATTCTTTTTAATCTGTACGATCTTCATCTGGTCATTAATCTCCAACATGCGGGAAATACCTTGGTCATAAATAGTTTCTAGAAAGTAAAAAGTAACATTTGTCAGAATGAAAGTGAGTTGATATAACCCATCTGGGAAGAGCTAAGTTAGCCGCGTTTCTGGAATAATCCTGCTCCCATGCTTTACTGATAACTAAAACTCACACAAACAAGTTTTACTCTTCTTCTACAAACTCCAGGCACCGTTTGGCATCTCGGGTCTGAAACTGCTGCTCCCAAAGCTCCTCCTTGATTCTGCGAGTCCGGTTCCGTGTTTGACCTTCTGAGATGATCGTGTCCTGATCAAACGCCGTCACAGACAGACGAACAAATCAATAACCAGCATGGTTCAACCATGGAGCGCTAAAGAACATTTACCAGAGCCGACAATCTGGGAAAAAGAAAACCGTGAACTTGCTGGACTTCTGGATTCCTGAAACTCAAACAACTTCCTGGTCGGAATAATTATTGTTGTTGGGAAACGAGTCGGAACAAAAAGAGTCAAAGTTTGTCCACGATAAAACTGCTAATGAAGAAAAGAAATCCTGAAAACAACTAAAGTCTTAAAGGAAGCTCACTAAAAACAACTAACTGTTCATCGGACTGACTGGGTTGATCTGAGCTGGAAGGCTCCATCACCTCCACCCAGGTGCTGCAGCACGTAAACATGGACCTCCAGCTGGGAACCGGTTGCTCCATCTTACTTGTAATTGGCTGGAGTGGGCAGGAGGGGGGCCGAGCGGTCATTGGTGATGGTCCTTCTCAGTTTCACACTTCTGATGAGCGTCTGCATGTCTCTTCCTCCACCTCCGGCCTCCTGGCTGGAGGTGGGCGGAGCCTGGAGCTGATGGTTAGTGCTGTGGTCCAGGCTGGAAGGCTGATCCCGGGTAGCTGAGCCCTGCATCTGGACCTGGTGCTGCTCCTGGAACAACCCCTGCTTCTGTAGCTGGTTCAGCTGCTGCTGGTTCTCCTGGTGATGAAGCTGGAGGTTCTGCTGCTGTTCAGGCTGGTGCTGATGCTGCTGTCGCTGCTGCTGAAGATGCAGATGGTTGATTTGTTGGGTGACTTGCTGCTGTAGCTGAAGAGGATGTGGAAGAAGTTGCTGCTGCTGAAACTGCTGCTGGACCTGGACTTGCTGCTGCTGAAACTGCTGCTGCATGTGGAGCTGCTGCTGCTGGCTGACCTGTTGCTGCAGCTGCTGCTGGCTGACTTGTTGCTGCAGCAGCTGCTGTCTCTGCTGCTGCTGTTTGATGCTGCCACCCTCTGGTGGTAGGGAGGGTACTGTGGGAACGGGAACTGGTATCGGCATCTGACCTGGGATGAACTGGTAGTAGGTAGAGCAGGAGGAGGAGGAAGAGGAGGGTAAAGCACTGAGGCTCTGCGTTGAAGTGGAGAGTTTACTGTGACTTAAACCTCCCACCCCTCCAGCAGCGGGAACTTTGAAAACATTTTCGTCACTCCCACCGTTTCCTCCGAAGGCTTTAAGAGGAACCTGCGGGGTGCAGATGGGAATGGGGACCCCCCCGCTGATTGTACCTCTGCGGTATGCCGGTTTGGACGATGGCTTGCGCCTGATGGTCGCCGTGTGAGGAGGCAGCTGACGACCAGAGCTTCCACTCAGCTCAGCCTCGGCCAATAGGCTGACGGTGGAGGCGGGACGTTTGGACTGAGCAAACTCCTTGTACTGGTATTTCAGATCCGAGTTCCTGGGCATCGTCAATGACTTGTCAAAGTCCGACTGGCTGCTGCCGTGAGACAGATGATGGAAGAAGACAGAGTCTGCGTCTCCGTGCAGAGAGATGGACTCATAGTCGGCTGAAAAACAGAGAAGGGAGATTTAGAGTCTAATAATCTGGATTTTTAATCTTCTGATCTGACAAACAGTAAAAACACAATCTCAAAGGAGGTCCAAACAAAACAGACAAAGTGATTCCATCAAGATTTGAGTGTTTTTGTTATGAAATTATTTGCATGAAGAGATTCAAAGACGTGGAACTACTCTGAGAGACGCTTCGGGACATGGGGACAGACAGGAGGACAAACCGGAACCTGGAAACCTACCATAGGAAGGAGGATCTCTCCTTACAGCTGTAAGAGAAGGAAGGCCGTTTGAGCAAGAGAGCCAAAAATTTTCCAAGGAATTTAAACACAACAGAAAACCGGACAGGAAGCAAAAGAACGTGGAAGAACTCAGAAAGATCCGAATCACAGACACCTCTCTGGGCTTGAGGGTCTGTGTGTGCCTGGAGAGGTCAGAACGGTGGTTCTAGTGGGTTCTGGACTCACTGTGGGTGTGGATGGTGTCCTCGGAGCAGGACGGGGTGGTGGTCTGTGTGCTGTAACCGCTGGAACAGTGGAGAGAGTCCCTGCTGCTCCTCGGAGCGTCGGAAGTTAAAACTCCCAACGTTAACCCCAGCTGATCGCGAGCCGAGCAAGACTGGAGGAAGGAGAGTGGGCGGAGTTTTTAAATGGTAATTTGAGCTAAAAGGGAAAAGATTGAGCTAAACTGTCACCTTCCCAGATGCAGACATGGCCCGAGCTCTCTCGTGGTACGTGTAGGTGTTGTGAGGGAGGGGCAACAGGCCGTTCTCCACCATGACACCCCCCCCAGGCGTCAGCTGATTGGTGGAGCCGTGGGGATCCTGTCACAAGCACACCGGTCAGAGTAAATCAACAAAAACCTGCTGAAGCAAATGACCTTGTTCAGCCATCGCAGAAGTTTCTGAGTCTCAGTTTAGGATTAAAAACACTAAAAAGCTGAAGCTAAAGCAGCAGATTATAAGAATTATGATCAGTGAGACTTCTATAACGGCTGAAGCGTGTCAGAAGCTCACAATAAAAACCAAAAACATCCAACAACATGAATAAATTATCCTGGAATTACAGGAAACATTTACAGATTCAGGATTAGAGAATGAGAACATTTGTGATGTGTCTTGTTTTTATAACAGAGAAAAACACAAATGAGACACAACAAAAGTTCCAAACGGGTCAAAATGGGAAGACTGTTGGAATAAATGGAGAAGTTCACAGGAAATGATCACATGTGGAAGTTTTAGTTTACAGGAGGGACTGATTATATAAATAACTAACAGATTAATATCTGGTACGTTGGTGAGTTTCTTTCTTACTTTTTTATCAGGAAATGTTTATCTGCTGATCAGAAAAACAAAACCAAGTCTCTCCTTTAAGCTCATCTAATCAGCTCTGAGGAAGTTTACATCCATGTTGTCACTTTTAACAACTGATTTGGTGACAAAAGTCAAGGATCAGGTAGAACACATTAGTATTAAAAGCCTCTGTGTAACTTTAAGCAGCAGAAACACGTCACTTCCTGTTTATCACATAAAGGTCAGCATGAAGCAGGAGTCAGACAAACGTCTCTGATCTAAACTAATAAACTTCCTTTTGTAGAAACGTTGCTGCATTTAGTTTCCTCTGGACTAAAGCATCTGAAAAATGAGCTGACTGGAAAGTGCACACACACATGCACGCACACACACACGTCCAACACAGAACCTGTAAAAGCACACATGAACACAAATATCAATATTATGGGAGGTAACGTCAGAAATAACACAGGTTTAGTTAATGAGGTGAAACCAGAGCTGAATCAGAGGATCGCTCCGTGGATGCTGTGGGATGAAGTCGGGTCCAAACCGATGGGAGGACAAACGACAACAACACAAAACCACATGACGGCACTCGGGTCGGGTCGGAGATTGGGGGTGGGGGGAAGTAGTCATAGTGATTCTCACGGTGGTCAGATCTCTGCGGCTAACACGGTGGCGCTGAGTGGGATGGTGGCTGTAACCATAGCAACCACGACTGCTGTGTCGACCGAGTCGTGAGGGGGAGTTCCCTTCGCTGAGGGACCGCCCACTTTCATCGCAGCCATACAGCAGAAATGGGGAGGAGGGCTACACACAGGAGAGGGTTAGAGCGGCGTTCATGGTTGTCTGGAAGGCTTTTATTTTGAAAAATGTACCAGAACTAAAATTTACTAGAGACAGTGTGTGTATGTTTTTTTTTTTTTTTTTTTTTGGGGGGGGGGGGGGGTCATGTTTCTTTATAAATCACATTAAATAAAATAATCATATAATATAATAATAACAAACAGAATGAACAAACAGAGGGTTGCGAATGACCACAGTCACCAATTCTTGTCATGTGTCTTGCCCATGTATGTCTGATCTCTGAATTGTGTGTACTGAAACTCTAATTTCCCTCTGGGATTAATAAAGTATTGATTGATTGATAGACTGATTGATTATTTATCTTGAACTTAATCATTTAATGTTTTTTAACTTTGAACAAGCTTACTGAGGGTGTGTGTGTGTGCATGAGATACCTGAAGGCGAACTCCGTCCACAGCACAGCTGATTGAGTCTAGAGAAGGAACGTGTCTGACAGATCCAGACTGGTAGCTGAAAAACCACAAGAGCTCCAGTTTTAGGTTCATAAAACAAGACAAGTTGTTAAACGGAACTCAACGTGTCAAAGTAAGAAAATGTTTGGATGAACCTTGAATGAAACCTTAATAAACAGGTAAAAGATGTTTTGAGGATTATTACAAAAATGTTTGAGTAATTATGTTAGTTTTATTACTTTGGCCTATCTCTCCTGCTAAAACCAAATGTGTTGAGATGCATTTGATCACATTAAGAGTGAAATCTGTTCCGATTATGGTAACGGGAGCAGTCAGTTATAAATCCGTCACCTGCTGATGCTGCTCCTCCTCGATAGACTGTTACTGGGAGAAGCCGGAGGCGTCTGGTACGTGTAGTTAAAGTCAGAACCTTTCAGGTCCAAAACCACCTGAGAAACAAACACAACTGTCCTTAAAACAACATGTCAAATTTTTCCTACAAAAGCCTGAGACAATGGGGTTTTTATACATATTTTAGTATCACAATCATGACGTAAACAATTACAGGCCACACTGGACTATAACAGCGGTGGTATTAAAGGACACCTGTTCACTGGCTGGTGGGAGTTTATTGGGCTCTGCTGTGAGGTTGGTCAGATCCTCCAGAATGGTCTGCAGATGCATCACCTCACCCAGCATGTTGATCTCATGATCCTGAAAACATGTTTCACTCATTTAACATTTAACACCAGATGTGAATAAATAAAATAATAAAAAACAAATAAAATCACGGACCAGCACAGGCTTCAGCATGCTGACAAAGCTGCAGTAACGAGCTCTCTCTTCAATCAGCGCTCTGCACACGGCCCGCTTCTCCGTTTCCTCCAGAACGGCGTAGCGAACGTTCACATCCTGCAGGGCGCAGTCCAGCTGTCCTCGCGCTTCATCCTTCCCTACAGGAAAATACATCTGTTTAAACCACATCGAGAACCTGACATTTATGATGCAAACGGCCAATGTTCACCTTTTCAAGCACCTTATGGAGTTGATTCACACATGCAGGACCAGAACATACATGTTCAAAACAACTACTTCACTTCCTTGTTTCTTTAAAGTAAATGTTGTAAAACCAGTTTGGGTAAAATTTCAAATCGCTTTTAAAATTCCAAGATCTTCTATGGTCGCTGTCTCCCTGGGGTCCCTGCATTCTGGGGCAGCTCCTGGATCTCTGGGACGTAGAGCTCCCTCCATCTCCTACACATCTTTGGGGGGCAGATCTGTGGCCCCTCACACTCTCTATTGGATGCTCCTATAGAGAAACCTTACATAAACAAGCGCGTGTACACACACAGGTGCTCACATGGTGCTCTCATAAGTATGGACATGGGCACGTTCAGCACAGGTCTTAAGACTATGGTGGGCACTTAATACACTGATTTATTATCGTGATTGTTCAGTAAAACAATGTTGATTTTATATTTCCTCATCAGGTTGACGCAGTGATAGTTTGCTCCTGTTGTATTGTTGTGTGTCCCTTTTCTTTCTTTCTCTTTCTGCAGATCTAGAAGCAGACTCTTTCTTGTTCATCATTGATTGTTTATTTTTTGTGGGACCCCCCCCCCCCCCCTGCCTCTTTCACCGCTGTCTCCGTGTCTGGTCGGAATTACAAAGCATTCAAAAACAACAACATTAAAGTTTTAAGTATCAGGCGTGACATTAAAACCAGACGTTTTGATGCTCCACCTGAGAGTAAATCTGTAAGGCTTGTCACCAGCATTCAGACATTAATTCTGTTTGCTTCACAGCCAGACAGGACACGGGGTGGGGGGTGGGGGGGGGGGAAGAAGATAAAAAAAATAAAAAAATACCAAGATCAAGATCAAGCATGTCCAAGGATTTAAAGCACCAGACAAACTTTATACAACACCAGGACCACGGGAAGACAAACAGTGCAATAGTCGGATGTTACCAGCAGGGGTCAGCAATAGACAAGTGAAATAAGGATATAAAACACACACACACACACACACACACACACACACACACACACACACACACACACACACACACACACACACTCACACACACACAGGGGCGTAGCACCAAATTCTGGGCCCTAGGTACAAGTCTTCTAGGTGGGCCCCCATGCTCAATTACTTAATATCTCTCTTACACATTTTTTGTCATGTTATAAGACAAGACAATAAATATGATCTTAGTTTAACCTCTATATTGAGCAAATACAAATGCCAGCATAATAAAAGTGAAAAGCCCAGACTTCACATATAATTATTTTTATTTACCAGCAATGTGTTCAAACAAAAATCCTGGAATTTATTTTCCAGTAAATGTCCACTGACGGGTCTTCATGTTAGCAAAATCACTTATGAGATCTTTAAAGTCCAATCCTTTGGCTAATTGGCTTTCAATAGAAAGAAGAGCTAGGCTGTTCAGTCTATCCTGGGACATTGTTGATCTCAAATAATTTTTCACCAGTTTCAGTTTGCTAAAAGCCCGTTCACCCCCAGCAACAGTCACAGGTAGTGTGCAAAATATTCTCAGTCCAATACAAACTTCTCCAAAAATGCTCTGTAATTGCATCCTGTATGGCACTAAGCAGCTCAAGAGGAGACTGAATGTGTGGAAATGTGGCACCATATGTTGTTCTCAGGTGTAGCATCTCATTCTCAAATTCAGCTGTGAGATCCTTGTAATATTTTCTCATCAGTGCCTGGCATGATATCTTCATCTGCTCTTCAGTCATGTCTGTCATGGTTCATGATGTTAAGCTTTGCTGATATATATTGATATATTAAATACATATGACATGAAATAAACCAGGTTCTCTCTGTGAATGTAATGTACTCTAAATTTTATAATCCCTGCATTATCAGCCAAATTATAAGATTGTCCGTTTTCAAGATCAAATATAAAGAAATTTAAAATAGGCTTAAAATATCTAACCAGGTCAATAACAATCCTCTAACACCAGTGTCATCATGCTATACGAAAAACAGTGGCAGCTTCTCATTCCTGAGATTACCGCTAATCCATCGATACCAAGTTTGTCCTGGTCCATGACTGGGAAGGAGCTGACATATCCACACAGAGTGAACCTGTTTTTACTGCGAGGTCCGCGAATTAATTGGCGGCGGCCGCCCGCGATAATAATTCTGATTAATATATATATATATATTTATTAGTGTTATCACTGATAACAGTAATTAATTTATATTTGATCTTGATGGTGAAACTAAAGGCGTTTAACACTTTCTTTCGGTCTTTATTTTGGTTTATAGCATTAACATAAAATTTTTTTTCAAACAAAACAATATTAACAACTTGAATTTAAACCAAAAAAGGAATAGGCAGAAGCAAAGCTTATTTTAGCCTACCCTATTTTCCACCTAAGATACATAACCAATATACATTTCTTTTATTTTCCCCAATATAAATAACCACAATGAAAATTCATTAATGTCTATACTTACTTTTCATACCCTGTAAATATGTGACACTTTACACCTGCTTTAAACTTTAGTAAAGAAGTACATTTCTTCAAATCATCATCTAACTCATTCCACAATTTCACACCAAGAATGGAAACACATCTTGATTTCACATTAGTTCTGGCTTTTACACATTCAAACATAAATACACCTCTGAGATTATAATGATCATCTCTTGGTTTGAAATAAACTTTTATGCAATTTGGGATATTATCATTAATTACTTGATGAAGAATCTCTAAGATTTTTACTTTAATAATATCTCCTAATTTTAGCGTTTTAGTTTGAATAAATAGATAATGGGTTGGTTCGAGGTATCCCAATTTATTAACTATTTTAATCGCCTTTTTTTGTAATTTAAATACAGTCTCAACACATGTTTTACTGCATTTCCCCAAGCCTCTGCACAGTAAGACAAATAAGGCATAACTAAAGAGCTATAAATTAAAAACAAGGCTTTTTTATTTAGTACATCACTAGTTTTATAAAGTATAGCAATAGATTTAGACACTTGCCGTTTGATATATTCAATGTGTGGTTTCCAACTGAGTTTACTATCAATAATCACACCTAGGAATTTAGTTTCATGTACTTGTTCAATTGGGACTCCATTTAAATACAGCTTAGCACCGTCATTGTCCCTTTTCCCTGAAAATATCATAAATTTGGTTTTATTTTCATTTAGTGATAGCTTGTTGTAATCAAACCATTTTTTAATTGAATCCAATTCGTTTTCAACCTCTTGTAATAATTTACTCATATCTTTTCCCATACAAATGAAATTTGTATCATCTGCAAACATAATAAATTTTAACCGAGACGATACAGAAAAGATGTCGTTCAGGTATAGGTTGAATAATTTCGGTCCGAGCACCGAGCCTTGCGGTACACCACATATTACTATTTCAAGCTGTGAATCTATATCATTAACATTAACATATTGAAATCTACTGCTTAAATAACTTTCAAGCCATTGATTGGTTTTACCACGAAGACCATAGTATTCACATTTCTTGAGCAGGTATGTGTGATCAATTGTATCAAATGCCTTACTCAAGTCAATCAAGACAGCCACTACATTAAGTTTTTGATCCACTGCTGTTGCAATCTGCTCTACCAAATCCATAACTGCTAATGAGGTTGAACGATTCTTCCTAAACCCATACTGATGGTCATTTAAAAGATCAAACTTGTTGGTAAATGCTTCAAATCTAATTACAAAAAGTTTCTCAAGTATCTTTGAAAACTGTGGCAGTAAAGAGATAGGTCTATAGTTACAAGCTAATCATTTATCACCACTTTTATAAATAGGAATAACTCTGGCTATTTTCATTTGTTCAGGGACTGTGCCACTTGAAAAGGATTTATTACAAATATAAGTAAAAGGTTCAATAATGCAATGGATAACCTCCTTGATGAGAGACATATCCATCCCATGAAAATCTAAGGACTTTTAACTTTTGAAACTGTGTACCGCTTGGATCACATCACTTTGGCTTACACTGCTCAAAAACATTGTATTATTATTTTTATTTATTTCATGGTTAATGTCAACTTCTGGCAGCTTTTTAGCTAGATTAGGGCCAACATTCACAAAATATTTATTAAACTCATTTGCAATGTTCTTTCCATTTTTATTGTGAATATCTATACCTGCTTCTTTTGTATTTCTTATTAATTTATTTAACACATTCCATGTACCTTTAATATTATTTTTGTGTTTTAGGAAAAGCTGATCATAATATTCCTTTTTTTGCTTCCTTATTATTGTAGTTAATTTGTTTTTATATTCCTTATACCTTTTTTCTTTTTCCTTTGTTGGATTTTTTAGAAAATCCAGATACAGTGATTTCTTTTTCTGGCAAGCCCTTTCCAATCCCCTAACAATCCAGGGTGGGGACCTTTTTTTTAAGTTTTGCTTATGATATTTTAGAGGACAATGTCTATCATAAGCTCCCAAAAATGAACACTGAACACCTAACATGAATGCAGCTTCTGAGAGCTAGCTAATATCAGCTAAAACTGTGTTCTGCTGCTCACTTCCTTCTTGAAGAACCTAGTCAATACTTGCTTCTGTTCAATTAACTTTTTCTCCTTCTCCTTCTTTTCTTTTCTGGAAGCCAGATTTCCCTTTCTTGGGAAAAGACATAACTGACTCTCCTGCCTCCAGCTCTGGCTGTCGGCATCTGCGATGTCTCATAGCTGTACATGCGGCCGTGCAGCCCCTGGCCGCTGGTGTGGACTAAACCACTTTGCACATTTTTAAGGGGTGATAGATGCCTCAGAGATTATTCAGTTATTATTTTTAAGGCGAAATTCTGTTTCTTAACCTCTTTATCCAGGTAAAGAGACGTTTATTAAGACATTAAGTAAGTTGGGGGGAAAAAACAACAACAATAAAACATTTTTATTCAAAGCTGTCTCAGGGCCCCTCCCTGCAGTGG